ATTTTCCAATCTAATAGTTGATTAGTATGCCGTACAATGTTCTACCATCACCGCGATCATTCGAAGCCCTCAAGTTTGTGAGAACTGCATTAGTAACAATGCAAACATCATGTGACCTAGTTACCTAGCGCACATGCATCACATGATTGCAATAGCACCGGACTGAGTCCTGCCTCATTTCTGTCAGCGATCGACACCGGAAAGACTAGTGGGTTTTCAGGCTGTAATGAAGAAAAGTGGGCATCCTTTTCACAAATCATTTCTTAGTACGCTGTCGATCGCAAACGAAATACGTCACTTAGCCCTTTATGAACTAGCATTATACCTTGATAACTACTATTGGACATGTTCAGCTATTGAGGCGAACAGGTATCAGATTTGAGACTAGGAACGTTGAGTTTGCTGGCTTCATATGCAGAAACAACTCTAAAACGCATTTTTTTGCTTTTGTAAGATGCGAGAATTGAAAATCTACCACCTGGGCGTTTTCTGTTTAAGAGAGAGCAGTAATAGCCGTCTCAAACGTTTTGTGCGACCGATAGAGAAAAATCATTCGTTAGACACAGTCATATGCATAAGAATGGCGTGAATAGATCTGTCTTTTCAGAGTCAACCGGAGGAATACTGGCCGGCTGATCACATCGCATATCGATGTTCAGCTCCCCATACCACGGAAAATCCACCCAGTTGGTGGGTCTTAACGAAGGCAAAACTCAGGTCCAGTGGTTTTCCCCTTTAATATTGGCCTACCAGGGCAGAACCGATATGTTCCAATGTTCCAATGACGTTGTCAGCTCTTCGATTGCTTTATATTCAGATGATATCACTGCATCATTGTGTTTGGTTACTAAGGTCTCCATCTCTCTGCTAAAAAATTTGCTGTAAAATTCTGCCTTCTTAAAACTGTTGTCCCGTAGCACACAGTCTGCGCTGTGGAAAACAATGTGGCTGACGAAGTTTCCAGAAAGGTGGATCTTAAGGCTGCTTCCCCATCTTTTATAGCCCGGTCAAAAATGCGGTGTTTTTTGTGAAGCCTAGTAAACGACCGGTTAAACCGAAGGAAGCTGAGCCACAAAAATTTCCGGTTGCTGAAAATCACGTCGGTTCTGCCTCTGGCTTTGGTTGCCTCAACTTCTAATGATAGTGGAGAACTGCACCGTTGCCTCGATTTTTTTCATCTGAACAAGCCAAACGTTTCAGGAGAAAAAAATTCACGTGTTTTCTTTCAAGTTGTTCCGCCGACAATGTTGCAAAAAAAAACTTACGCGATGCGAACTGTGTTTTGTGGGAGGCGCTTCTACCTGGGTGGCTACCGATACGCCGGAAACATCTTACCCGTAATTTACGTGTTTAGTTTACAGGGGATCACATATGTATCATTTAGTTGAGTCTTAGGTAGTCCCAACTGTCCAATGCTGACGATGTCCCAAAGGGCAGAAGTAACCTTTCCAGTAAGACTTAAGCCTCTTAACTGCACAATCCAAGCCTATCTTTACAACAGTTTGGGAACTTAGACAACCGAATAAAATTTTTATTCGGTGTAAGGTGTAAAAGATTATTGAGGCTAGAAACGCTGAGTAGAATAGAATAACTTTATGTTAGGCTGCTGCTGCTGAGCTGCTCTACATCGACGATCCATCTGTCCACAAGGAAGCTGATTAAAAGAACCAGAGTAACACACTCATAGCAAAACCAATAACATCTTCCGTTATGTAATCAGTTGTCAGCAAAAAGAACAATAGCGTAGTGTAAAATGTGACATACCTTCGTTTTCACTCTCTCTTGCGGCAATGATTAAGCCCAGTAGATAATCACGTCGCCACAGTTGGGCGGCTGAATTGCCAGTAACCTTTCCCGTTACTGCTGTCCGTCTTGACGGGTGTTCAGGGAGCAAAACCCGCATCTATCCAAAATCATTCAAATTACAGCTCTGTGACCGCACAAGACATATCCGACCTCATTACTCTGGAAGTGACTTGAAGTACGCATACGCATCTGCAGCTGAATTTCCCCAGTATTGAAAGAATCTTCAACAAATGTACACTTCATCTGCCTTAAACAAACTCTAGTTTAGGCTTCACACAACTCACTTGACTCGGTGAAACTCGCAGAGTAGAGATTTAGTAGATAAATACTGTTAGTATGGGATAACTGCCAACTGGATATTGACTAAGTTGAGTACCCTGCACTTATACAGCAGCCAATCCGATAGACCGACACGATACAATCCGCTGTATAGCTTAGTTTTCAAAGGGTATGTTTGTTGGGCTTGCAAAAGCCGAACAAATTCAAAATAGAGTGAAAGGTAGCCAATTTCTGGCAACGTTGTCTAGGCTCGTCATTTCGTGACAGCTTGGTTGACCATCCGCTGTGAATATGGGTTGAAATTTCAGTAAATGCAAAGTCACATGGGAACAACCAAGCAACGCAGACCGGACATTAGAAAAGTGGGGAAAATATCCAGGAGATTTATATGCGAATGAAAAAGGACAGATTGATGTGGATAAACAGTGAAGGTATATTGTTCAAAGGCGACAACAATTAGGCCAGAATCAATCGCCCCTTTAAATGTACTTTACAAAGCACACTACAAGCAACTGACCTGGAATGTCTACACATAAAGCAACAATTTTCTGCCCATCACTTAAAGATGGCCTCACCATTCCGGTTACCCAAACCTATCTGTCAATGTGAGTGTACGTGTGAGGATACGTATATGGATTTACTAGGACATCAACGATCTACAAGAATGCAGGAAAGTTTCCCAAACTGGTCACTCAGACCTGATGGCAAACAGACGATGACATCTATAGCAAAACAACCGCTGGATACAAATTATTTTATAAATTTGGAGGCTTTCTAAAACTTCAGCTACTAGAAAGAATATGGTGTCCTTTGTTATGCCTATTAGACGACTGAAACTGAGCCTATTTGTTCAAAAATGAATGATCTCAACACTGGTCTCAATGTGTTAGAGCTAACGAACAGAATGTGGTTTGCATTCCTGTCATGACTATATAACCCATACATTTGCATAACCCATTAACTCGTGATTCTTACTCTATTTTCAGCTCATGTACTACAGTTATTAGACGATTAAAGCGTACATTACGTCTTCCTATTCTGTCTCCTTTCTAATCCCGTCCTGAATTTTCAGCGGCCCAGGTGACTGGAAGCAAATTCAAGTGTGCAGGTCGTTCCAACCACCCGATAAGTATGTCTTTTGTGATATGGTATCTCTAGATCTCGGTAATAATCGATCTGATTACCTTGATTCCAAAACTTAACGTCTGTGGTTTAGGGCTTCTTGTGTCGGGCGATGAGTACTCTGTCGTGTCATACAAAATCCATTACGATCATACCAATCGGTGTATGCATGAGCTTACAGGTTCTCCTTCACCTACAAAGGAATGGTCCACCCTTTCAGTGCCTAGTTGCCATGCCACCCGAAGGAAGCACAAGGGCTGGCACACTTCCAGGTTGCCCAAACCCAGACAGGGGAAGTCGAGAGACAGAGGTCAACGGGGGCATTCCGGTCATTAAATTCGCGCTCTAATCACTGAGTCATCTCGCCCCAGAAACGTAATGTACAGTGCCATTTTTCACGGAAAGCTGATTTAAACAAGCTCT